TTGTCAAAATGCTGAAAGATGGATGTTAATAAGAACAATAATCATTATTTGATAATTACTCTCTTGTATTAAAGTACTAAACAAAAGAATCTTTTACGATTATTCGTTAACTTAAACAGTTTAGTATATTTATATATTAATTTTATACATTATTGTATACATATTATTTTATATATTATTTATTTTTACTGATTAATTTATATTAATTATTTATTTATATTATTCTCTTCTTTGGAATAATTCTTAATGTTAGAAAGTTGGAAATAAATAAATATAAGTTTACTTACCTTGAACAACTTCATACAGCGCCAGCTTTTCAAAACATTTTTTGGATACATTTTTACCAGCTTTCAAAGTAAACTGTGCTGCCAATGTGTTCGAAATAAGTTTTTTCAGCACTTTATATACAGCTTCCTTAACATTGTCTTTAGGACCAATAATTTGACTTACGTAACATATCTGAAAAAATATCAGTATTTTTAAGCGAAAAAATGAATGTTAAAAAATAAACACATAACAAAAAGAATAATATACTTACAGTTGCTCCTGCATTATCATCTTTTGATAAATATTTTTAAAATTTTTTTAATTCTTCCTTTGTTGTCAATGGAAGTGCTGGAAAATGTGCTGGCCTTACTATTTTTTTTTCATGTGGAAGAAGAAAGCGATTTAATCTGCATACGTTCGTAATAAGCATATCTAATTTGCTACTAATTTCTTGGTTGGACACATATCGCGTAAAAGATGAGTCACGGTCTCTTGATATCTTTTCTTTAAAAGCTTTCTTATCATAGGTCGCTCCAGACACACCTAATACACTACCTGTGAGATAATTAGAACTTAATACCCGATAATTTAAAAAAAAAAATTAAAAAATATTTTACCTGATTGACGAGATGAACGGGGTGTAGAAGGAGAAGAAGTAAGTGCTGTTATATGAGAAGTAACTGGACTCATTTGACGTAATTCTGATGGAGAATATGCTTTACATATTGAAGATGGTGATTTTTCACCAGACGTATCCAATCCATAAATAGAATTATCCTTTGATATACTAGGTGTCTCTATATTTATTGATCTTGCACTTGTCTTTTGAGATACGTTATTATCTGCAGATAACACTTTTTTCTTCTCCTGAACTTCCGTTGAAAAATCTTTTCGCATAACATTAGGATCAAGATTTTCCTCATCTGTAGCATCAGATACTATTTTTGTCTGCAAACATTTAAAAAGATTTAAACTTTATATTATTAAACTTATATAAATAAAATTATGACTTATATATACATATCATGTTGCATATGCGACGTATAGAAATACTTACATCGTCTTCTATCATACATTTGTGTTTTTGTCTTGCTGTCTCTATGATTTTCGATTTGTTATCCATAGCTGAAGTTACCTTCTTTGCTTGACTTATTTTCGTAAGTAGGAAATCCTTTCTAGCTTCGTGATTTTGACGAGACGT